AGCCAAGCTCTTTCGTTGTTCACCTCAATTCCCCCATCACAAAGTCTATTCCAGTTACCAGATAATAGGGATGACAAGACACTAATAAAAAGCATTAGTTGATCAATCTCACCTGCATCTGGAAGTAAAGTGCCAGTTACATCATCTACTTCTGCAGAATCCACAAGTATGTACCTCCCAGCTTGGAAGAACAACTGTACTACAGCACTGCTTGTATACTGACTACCCTGTGCTGATCAGACAACGTCCATACCGTTTAACACCAGAGAAGCAAGTCAAAGAAATGCTAATGAATGGCCTCACAGAACCTACACACTTAGCGTGGGCCTCACGCATTAGCCGCGTTTCCACTATCGCGCCTAAAGCGAGCGAGCCAAGGCCAGTGACGTTTCCAGTGTCACTTCCGGGGCTTAATCGGGCCAAAGCGGGGCTTTCTTGGGGGCAGCGGCCAGCATTTTTCGGTCCGCCAAATACCTTGGGCCAAGGAGGGCCAGCTGGGGCTTCGGGGCGGAGTGAAAGGAGAGGCGAGCAGTTTTCTGATCGCACATGAGTACATGCACCAAACAAATAAAGAAATAAGGGAAAGAAAACATCTGGCCTTATAGTCTGGGGTCTTTTTGCGTATGATCACCCTTATGTTTCCCTTTCAAATGTAAGGCTGCTGCATAAAATAATAAAGTAGTTTTATTTTATAGTGACATTTTTTGCTGCGTCCTCCTTTGTTTCAATAACGCATAATAATCTTTACACCATATTAAAGACACAGCAAACAGTAAAGGTTTTCGAAAGTATTTGTCAAGTTTAAAATGTTTGTTTGTGCGCGTTTAGATGCCTGTATGTGTGTGTGAGACCGGGCAAGAGCGCTCCTTTACAGCTCTGTTATGCCGCGAGTGGCTTTTTTCTTTATTTATTTTGGAGATAATACACAATATAAATACAACAGAAAGACATAAAACTTAACAAATTACGTAAAGTATTTAGATGCGATGATATTAATCAAATAGCGCAAACAGAGCATTATTTGGGTGAGTGAAAGCAGAATCTAGCCTATACCTTTTTTTCAGTCACTCAGTCCTGCGCAGCGCTTGCTGCTTTAAGCGCATCGGGGGAAAGTCCAAACACAAAATGTGTTCTATATCCTCAAACAACTTTTTATGTTTTTTATATGACGTGGTTAAATTTATAAATGAAACTTTAAATGAAGCTTTAGTGAATAGCTGCTGAACGCAACAAATATGGCTATATTTTAATAGGCTACTCGCTCTTGTGCTGTAAAACACTTAACACGACGTCTATCAAAACGAGGATGTTATAAAATACATGCCATATCGAGTTATAAAGGAGAATTTCTGTGGCTTTATATTATGGATGTGTGCGCTCTCTGTGTTGGTTCCCTCTGTTAGTAGCAAGAGCACTCGATGCACAATGCCAACAGTCGGTCGGCGAGTAAACAAATGTAATGAATGGAAATACACAGGTCTGTACGTATAGACATTTCATGTACTGCTGTACAGTAACGTGTCATTTGTTTGTTTCGGTTTTCTTCATTTTAATGGTTTCGTTTTGTGATGATTCTATGGTGTGCTTTATCTGCCTGTCCTGATTCCCGCTGAAGTGGGCGGGTTGTGTGACGTTTGATTCGCGGACTTACTGTGGGCGGTGTTTGCGTGACGCGCTGTGAGCTACTAGCCCGACAGTGGAAACGCGACATGATTTCGGCCTCATTTCTAAACCTCCCGGGCTATTTGCCCGGCCCGATTAAAGCCCTGGCTCGCACTGGCCGATAGTGGAAATGCGGCTAATGTCCTTGTCCCCAAAAAAGATAGCAGTATGAGGTTCTGTGTGGACTATCGTAAAGTGAACTCTATCACAGAAAGAGATGGAATCCCTCTCTGGTGCTGTCATCTTCTCCACGATTGATCTCAACAGTGGGTACTGGCAGGTAACTATGAAGCCTGGAAGTAAATCCAAGACTGCGTTCATTGCTCTTGGGCCTATACCACTTTAAAGTTATGCTCTTTGGACTTTAAAATGACCCAGCAACATTCCAGCAATTAATGGAGTCTGTCCTAGGAGAGTTGCGGGGAAAAATGGGTTTTTTGTATATTGATGACATCATCATATACTCGCCCTCAGTCACCCAACACTTTAAAGATCTTCAAAGTGTCATCACCTGGTTACCTGGTTAAGCTGGTCTGATCATTAACCTGAAGAAAAGTAAATTCTGCCAACATAAATTATCATTTCTGGGACATGTGGTGAACACTCAGGCCATTCCTGCTGATTCCATAAAAGTAGAAGCGATAAAATCCTACCCGGTTTAAAAAAACATCAAAGACGTTAAAAGATTCCTTGGATTGGCAGGGTGGTACCATATGTTCGTGCCAAACTTTCCTCAAATTGCAGAGCCTATGAAGTTATTGAAGAAAAAAGGGCAAATTTTTCAATGGACACCTCAATTTCAAAAAGCATTGAAGAAATTAAAGACTTGTCTCACATCGCCTCCCATCCTTTGACATCCTGATCTCCGACTCCACTTTGTGGTTTCCACCGATGCCAGTGATTCAGGAGTAGGTGCAGTGTTGACACAACACAAGGCGCAAGGACAGGAGGAATTTATTGTCTATGGAAGTCGAACACTGACCAAACTGGAGGTTAATTACTCAGCTACAGGGAAGGAATGTTTAGCCATACTATAGGCCAGGGGATTTCAAACTGTGGGGCGCCAGCGCCTGTAAAAGGGGGAGCGAGAAACTGAGGTGTGCACTCGAGTAAATATGATGTTTTTTTATGTTCACAAGAGTCAATCTGATTAGTCCTGCAGCTAACTAACAAGCACGAGGCACCTTTTGTAGTTAATGCGATCGCGTAAAACATGTACAAAAAATGGACATCTGGCTTTTCAAAATGAATGACGGTGAAGATAACACTGGTAAATCGTCTGACAAAAAAGATGACGAGTGCCCTTCTGAAGCAATAAAGCAAAGAGATGACCAACCCTCCGCATCAACGGGGGTCTCCACACCGAGTGGATTAACGTTCACTGCAAAAACCAAAGGCCTGTGTGCATCAAAGCAACGGAAGTATGATAAACAGTACATACAATACGATTAATAACGAACCATGTCCACAATGTGTTGTGTGTTCAGAGGTCCTTGCAAATGACTGTTTAAAACCTGTGAGACTGGTGCGTCACTTTCAGATGAAACATCCAATGTCAAAAGATAAGCCAGTCAACTTTTTTCGATGTAAAGAATTAGCATTAAGAGGACAAAAACAAACGATGACCAGTCAACACAAGGAGGTTAGATGGCTCTCCACAGGCAAAATCCTGCAGCGTATTTTTTCATTGCATGACGAACTGAGGATTTTTCTAATTGATTGTGGATCTTCCTTTAGGAGTCGTTTTACTGACACTAAGTGGCTCACAGATTGTACATACCTGTCTGACATATTTGATTGGCTTAATTCGCTTAATTTGTCCCTTCAAGGCCTGTGTTCAAACCTACTAACAATGTCTGATGAAATTGTGGGCTTTGTGAAGAAACTGGAGCGATGGAGAGGGCAGGTGGATGCAAGAAAATCTAGAAATGTTCCTGACCTTGGATGAATTTAACAAAGAAAATGTGTTTAACCGGGATACTACTAAAACGGAAATCACTCTCCATCTGCCATCTCTGTCTGCACATTTCAATAGGTATTTTTCTGAGCAGCATAATTGGAACCAAGTTTACAAAGCGCTGGATGCCCTTCTGCACCTTTCAAGTGACCGTACTTTGAAGACACTGTTCGACTTAACCACACTCAGAATTCTGGCTGGCAGTGGATACAGAATATGCTGAACTTTCGGAACTTGAAATTGATGTACTCTTGCCTTTTGCTTCAACTTGGCTCTGTGAAGCAGCATTTTCTGTGTGTACGTACATCAAAAACAGACTCATGTATCACACTGAATCAGGTAATGTACATGCACTTTAAACGCAGCAAATAATATGGGAGTGATGTTTGCACATGCTTTATAATTTTGGCTCGCTGGACAAAAAGGGAGGGGGCGCGAGTGAAATTGGCCAAACTTGGGGGGGCGTGTGTCCTAAAAGTTTGAAAACCCCTGCTAGAGGCTATCGAAAAGTGTAGACATTTCCTGGAGCCAAAACTCTTCATTATTGTCACTGATCATTCCACTCTTCAGTGGGTCATGAACTCCACGAAGACCACCTCACGTTTAATCCGCTGGCCCCTTCGTCTTCAAAAATTTGACTTTGTGGTTGAGTACAGAAAGGGAACACTGAATGAAGCACCAGGTGCTTTTATCTTGCATTCATCCCTTACCTGGTTGTCGTGTATTCAGCTATAAAAGAACTAGTATTTCCCATCACCATTGCAGAAATCTGGGAAGAGCAACACAAAGAACCAGATATAATCAAGATATTGCAGAACCTAGTAGATAAAGATTCTACTATGCATGAGCAGTTTGGGTTATTTTATGACAAGTTATATTATTGTTTCCTGTTGAAAGATAAATTCAAACACTACAGAATATATATATATATATATATATATATATATATATATATATATATATATATATATATATATATATATATATATATATATATACATGCCACCCTTATCCCAAATCTCCTCCAACACTACCACACACATCCATTAAGTGGACACTTGGGTATTTACTAAACTTGCCAAAGAATACATCTCATTGCTTTCTGCCCTGCAATGTGGACATCTGTAAAAACGTACGTGAAAAGGTGTGTGATGTCTTTTCACTTTTCAGCTTTTGATGAGAGTTTCTAAGACTTAATAAAAAACTAATGTTTTATTTCTTTCTTTCAGACCGCATTAAAGAGAATGAGGGGAGTAAAGAGGAGAAACATCATGTCAAAACTGAGGAAAAAAATATTTTTTTGAAAAGGAGAAACAAGAATCGTTTCACCTGTACTCAGTGTGGAAAGAGTTTGGCAAACAAAAGCAAACTTAAGATTCACATGATGATCCACACTGGAGAGAAACCATTCACATGCACTCAGTGTGGGAAGAGTTTCAACCGCTCATCACACCTTAATCAACACATGATGATCCACACTGGAGAGAAACCATTCACATGCACTCAGTGTGGGAAGAGTTTTAACCGCTCATCACACCTTAATCAACACATGATGATCCACACTGGAGAGAAACCATTCACATGCACTCAGTGTGGGAAGAGTTTTGACTGCTCATCACACCTTAATCGACACATGAGGATCCACACTGGAGAGAAACCATTTGCATGCACTCAGTGTGGGAAGAGTTTTAACTGCTCATCACACCTTAATCAACACATGATGATCCACACTGGAGAGAAACCATTCACATGCACTCAGTGTAGGAAGAGTTTTTACTGCTCATTCTCCCTTAATCGACACATGAGGATCCACACTGGAGAGAAACCATTTGCATGCACTCAGTGTGGGAAGAGTTTTAACTGCTCATCACACCTTAATCAACACATGATGATCCACACTGGAGAGAAACCATTTACTTGCACTCAGTGTGGGAAGAGTTTCAGCCAATCATCATCTCTTAATCAACACGTGAGGATCCACACTGGAGAAAAACCATTCACATGCACTCAGTGTGGGAAGAGTTTTTACCGCTCATTCTTCCTTAATCAACACATGAGGATCCACACTGGAGAGAAACCATTCGCATGCACTCAGTGTGGGAAGAGTTTCAGCCTATCAACATCCCTTAATTACCACATGAGGATCCACACTGAAGAGAGACCATTCACATGCACTCAGTGTGGGAAGAGTTTTATCCGGTCATCATACCTTAATCTACACATGAGGATCCACACTGGAGAGAAACCATTCACATGCAGTCAGTGTGGCAGAAGTTTCATCCAATCATCACACCTTAATCAACACATGAGGATCCACACTGGAGAGAAACCATTCGCATGCACTCAGTGTGGGAAGAGTTTCAGCCTATCATCATCCCTTAATTACCACATGAGGATCCACACTGATGATAGACCATTCACATGCACTCGGTGTGGGAAGAGTTTTACCCGCTCATCACACCTTAATCAACACATGAAGAAAAACCATTCAAATGCACTCAGTGTAGGAAGCGTTTTTACTGCTCATTCTCCCTTAGTAGACACATGAGGATCCTGTGGTCACACTGGACTTTTCTCGCCATAGACTTCCATTCAGACGCACGTGAATGCATCAGACCGGAAATGCAAGTTCGTGCCTCAAGTTTCGCAGTTCATTGCCTTGCAGAGTTCAAGCTTGGTGAATTCTGACCTGCAAAATTGCATAACTTGACTGTGTGAGACCTATCGAAGATCAAAACATGACCTCTCTGGACTAGGGCTGTAACGATACACCAAACCCACGATTCGGTTCGTATCACGATTTTTGACCCACGATTCGGTTCGTATCACGATTTTTTTTTTTTTTTTTTCGTGTGGGGTGGGCAAAAAAAGATTTTTAAAACTATTTTTTATTAAATAACATTTGAAAAATCTTTATAAACTAAACATCAAAGAACAATATTAACTATGCAAATTATTATCAATATAAATAGCCATATATAAAATAAATAAATAGCCAAAGCTATATCACTTCTGTTTTCTTTGTAACAAAATACTGTTGAAAAACCAAACAGAACTAAACTCCATTGTGTAGATGGTTCAAGCATGTTGAAAATTCTTTTTCAATCAAGTTCTCTTACATAGAAAAAGTAAATTAAATAGCTACTAGGGATGCTCATTTTGTTAATTTTGCTAACCGACAACATTAATCGGTTATTACCGGTTAACTGGTCAGATTACTGTTAATTTTATATTAAACAAATTGACGTGTCTATTTTTTGTCTGACACATTAAATATTGCATTTTAAAATACTGATTTATTTTTATATGTTAGAATATTAATAGCGGAACAGAACAACAGAGCATTTCCACGCACCTGCAGTGTTTAGCACAGAAGAGCAGAATAATCTAAATAAAATAAATAGGACTGCCCTAAATTATTTTCACTTAAATAATTAATTTATATTACAAAACGACAATACTGACTGATTCTTTTTAATAACCGGCATAGGCTTTTTTTTCCAATCATATGTTTTTTTCTTCCGTCAAATAAAAATCGCAGACTTCCTCAAATTGCCCGCTTTACGGAAAATATGCATTTATTTAAAGCTCCGCTGTTATTATTATAATCACAAAACCTTTTACATTTTAATAGAAATCATTATTTTAAAGATTATGTCCTGATATAGCCTATGCTTTCCTCTCTCTCCCTCGCGGTTCAAGTGCGCGCGCTGCATGATGAAAAGACAGCAACAATGCGCTCATATGTTGACTTTTTGTAAACAGTTTTGTTGTTTAAATATGATATTGCATTAATCTGCGTACATGCTTTAAAAGCTGAAAATAAAAAGTAAAGCCTATTTGTTGCGTTTATTATGCAGATCCAGGTCAACATCAGTGCTGGTTAAGCATCAACAGGTCTGTATCAAACAGCAATATTCTTCTTCCATTTTGCTTCTTTGGCAAATGCGTCTGTAGGCACGGGATACACGTTATGGTCCCGCAAATTAAGTATGCCTTGCAGTTAAACAAGGGGCGAAAACGAGGCGCACCTCACTGCCTTTGTTGACAAGGAAAAAAGAAGAGGCGCGGTCCTCTTATGAAACGACTGAATCAGCTGGGTATCGATTGTGCAAAAGTGTTGCTGTCTGTGTTGTTACAATAGTAATATTTAATACTATTGTGATATTCAAGATTTGTACATTCATACAGCTCTGGATAACTTAAAACAGCGATTAGACCTTCAGAGCGGCGTTAATGCGTCCTGAAGTAAAGCGAAACTGCTTAAAACTCCAGCAAGATAGAGTGATTGTATGCAGAGCCATATACCTTTATCTCTAAATAAAGTATAACTATAGAAACTGTGTTCATCTTAACTGAAAGCTTCGTCGTGTTTTCTGACCTCACACATCGCGCACCTGTCAGTCAGCACTCTCAAAGGTTCAAACAGAAATCGCACAGCACGGATACAGAAAAGTTTGCGCAGTTACCTGACATCTGGTGAACGCCCATCCCTCTCTGCGCAGCCACATTAACAGTGTGAGCAAATCATCGTATATGCGCTGAAAATCCAGCCGCTTTGACAGCATTGGCAATGTTTCTGGCGTTGTCGGTTGTCAAGCGGGGTTAAGTTGGTTTTGTTTTTGATATTCCTGACACATTCAGACAGTCCCTTACTAAGAGCTCCGTGCGAGCTCTTCCGGCTAAATATTGCGAGGGCTTAAACGGAGCAGTGCTTGTAATGTCGAACGAAAAAAAGTGTTAATTAGCTCAACTTTTGCTGGCACGCGTGACGTTATTGGCAAGGTATCACGGGGTGTGTCGCGATTCTCCCTTATCACACCGTGACACAGGATCGTAGATCTGAGTGTCACGATTTCGATTTTATATCGTGTATCGTTACAGCCCTACTCTGGACAGTTAGTAAAATATAGACCAATCGCTCGCTTTTTAAATGTCTGATCATCTTGTTTAATCCGGCTCCTTTTCACAGCGCTGTACAACAGAATTTTGCATGCTCAAATTCTAGTGTGACCGCAGCTTCGATGTGGGATGAGTTTCGGCAGCTCCTCAGACCTTTATTAAACACATGAAGACCCACACTGGAGGGAAACCATTCACATCTACTCAGTGTGGGAAGAGTTTTAACCAATCACCAAACCTTAATGAACACATGAAGATCCACACTGGTGTGAAAGAGTATATGTGCTTTGAGTGTGAGAAGACTTTTATTACAGCTCCAAAAACTGCACCAGACGATTCACACTGGAGAGATCGTACAAGTGTTCAAACTGTGACAAGAGGTTCAATCAGTTAATGCATCTCAAAACACAAAAGAGGATTCACACTGGAGAGAAACCGTACAGATCTGATCAGTGTCTACAGAGTTTTGCTCATTTGGCCCAGCTTAAGAAACACATGGACAAAAAGTTGCACACATGACATGAATGCAGCAAAACATTTTTCTCATGTGCACAGGATGTTTCATGTCTGAATAATGTTTGAATAAGCTATAAATAACAGTATAATACAGTATAATAGGTATACTGTTTTCCAACACTCCTACACTGCAGTAGATGGGGATTGTAATTGTAAATGTGTCGCGCTCCTTGCATTTATGTAAACACATTGATGGCGGCTGAGAGAAGAACAGTTTCATAAACATTTGGCAAACAGCACCTCTGTAGCTTGAAATCTCGTCTACTCCACTCTCCAGTGTATTCATGTAGCTAGTGTTGTTTTGGATGATGTTCTCTGTTTGACTCCCTGAATGAGAAATCCAGATTGGAGTATGTGGTAAATCGTGATTGGATGCCTGCATTGCTCATCAATGGCTATATAAAAGTTGTTGTGCTAGCTACCTCAGGACCTGTGGCTACTCAGGAGTCCTCATGTCAAGACCTGCCATCTCATTGACTCTTTCACATTATGGTTTTGTTTTGCATTACTTATATCATGTAGTTAAAATGTTGTTGTGATTATATCCTAAGTTCTTTATTTTCATTAGTATCCCTAGACATGTTTTGGTTGCTTTGATTGATTGTTCTATGAGTTACATTTTATAATAAATCATTTGCATTCAGGTTATTTTGTTGGCTCATCTCTCTTTTATGCTGCGACTCAAACAAGCAGGTCATAACACTTTGTAAAATGTGTCCGGTTGTATCCGAGATCTTGTCCTTTCAGTTATGACCATAGGTGTGAGTAAGTACTTAGATTACCTTTCGTCTCAGCTCCTTCACCACAACAGACAATTACATCAACTGCATTACTGCTGCCGCTGCACAGATCCGTCTTTTAATCTCATATTCCATTCCTCATGGCTCATGACAGATACTTAAACTCCATTTGGGGTAAGGACTCTCCGCCAAACTGGAGGTGGCCACTGTTTTTCAGTCAAGCATTATGGTTTCTGACTTAGGCCCCGTTTACACTAATGCGTTTTAGTTTGAAAACGCACAAGTTTTGCTATGGTTACGCCAACCGTCCACACTACGCCGGAGTTCTCTAACGCCGAAAACGGAGCGTTTCGAAAACGCTGGAGAGGCCGTTTTCATTCTGAAACGCTGCTGCTCCGTCTCATTGTGGATGATGGAAAACGGAGACATCTGAAAACGTAGGCGGGGCTGCAGACGTTCGCCTCTCTGATTGGGGCTTTTCCTGAATATTATGTAGCCTAACACGCACAGTTCAGTCCTGCATTCTCTCCGTGTAAGTTCAGACTTCGCAAGTTTGATCAAGGCTGCAGTCTCTTCTTCTCAGTTTGATATGGAAAAGCAGACTATATCTAGGACACGGGTAAATCTTCAAAGGGAACAGTGTACTTTATAACTTCATTCACATCATTATAAAAGTATAACATACAATAAGTTTATACATTATCGGAAATAAAGGCAAGCGATCAGTCAATATACAGAATGTAGGCTACGTGGTTACATTAATCATTAACTTATCTTTGCGCTTAGCCAAAACACGTTACCTGAGAACAAGTAATAGATTCCAATGACCAAAGTCAGGGAATATGTCGTTAGATAAAGACAACAAGACGAATGAAATATCCCGTTTAATAAATGTAGTGAGATTAGATCCAGCGGGAGATGCTTGATGAGAAGTCTGACTAGCACAGCTCTCATCTGGGTAGATGGGCTGCAGCGCTTGCCAGAGAGTGAGTGTGTGGTCACGTGATGTGCGTTTTCAGCGTTTTGGTGTGGACGGAGAGCTGTTCAGAAACGCTGGGTAAAACGCGAGTGTGGACGTGGATCGTTTTCATTCTAAAACGCCGTTTTAAAACTAAAACGCACTAGTGTAAACGGGGCCTGGGAAGCTTCTACAAAAACAACACACGACTCTTACATTACTTTATAACCAGGCTTGGGAAAAAATAAATTGAAATGTGTTTCAAATCAAAATACCTCAACATAAGTGTATCAGCATTAACTACAAAATGCAGCAGCCAAAACTAAAAAATAAGCTTCCATCAATAGTCCTATAAAACAACAGCAACAAATCAAATGAAGATGGCTAAAGTCAACTTATTTTCCTAATACATCATTATTTCTCTGTAAGACTGGTTTGTAAAGCTGCTGAACTTTCCATCCCCCACTGTATGTGTCTTGAGTCTTCACTGCTCCCCACTGCTCATTTGCATCTTTATACCAGCATTAATGGGGGTCAATTGAGTCTTATCCAATCACATTCCAGATCCAGTAGCTCAGCAGGGTTGTTTCTATATATTCTGGGTTCCTAACAGAAACGTCATTGGCTTATTTTGCTAAGTAAAGAGAACAACTTTGTATGACAAACTATGATTGTTGATTCCTACATTGGGATTATTACCAACAACAACCTACAAAGAAAAGTATGAAGGTATTTTTGGTGCAAAACTCCCAAGCAGCTGTAAAAGTGTCATTTGTAGTTGTAAAAAATAGCCACACATGTGTATCAGTAAATTTGTACTCGCAGAGCAAATTTGCAAATGCGTATCAGTAAATTTGTACTCGCAGAGCAAATTTGCAAATGTGTAGGTATTTTTTGTCTCCAACAAACACAACGCAACATTTACACCTGCACAAATTCTTCAGTACAGGTGCACAAATCCCATCGGACGAATCACAAATGCAGAAACTCATCCGCTCATGTTCTTTGCTACTATTGTTGCAGTGAATATGGTGCAAAACACATTCACACACCTGCATCCAGAAATGTGAAGTCACAGACAAAACTTGCACATCTGTAGATTAGAATGTGTATCCGCACAAAGAGAGCTGAACGTGTGTAGAATGTTTGATTATTTTTTTTCTAAGCACGAACACAAATATGTTCCTGCAACTGCTCAAATCTGCCGCTACGAGTCTCAAGCGCTGTTTTTCACTTGCAAATCTACATTTCGCTCTCTCGCTCTTCTGCACCAAAAATCACTGTGACATTTGGTGCAAAAGTTACTTGTGTATCTGCCAACCAAAACGTGGGCTCTCAGAGAAATTCAGCCAATAGGGGATGGGGCGTGACGTCACCGCTCTAGCGCTGCGGAGGCTGAACGTCGAAACCGAAACCCCCTTTGCGAGATTCGCTGCATCTATACCTGATTTGCGTTCAAAATGCCTGCTTCATTATTTCATAGTAGGAGCAAACATGCCTTAAGAAAATAAGTAGGTTTGAAACTTTAGTAACCATAAAAAGTACGCCAGGTGGATGCCTTTCTACTCCAGGAAGCCGCAGCCTACGGCCTGAAGGAGGAAGAGGACGCGGTCAGTTTGAAATGTGAGTATTAAACCAAAGATAATTCGTTGTGTTAAACTCGTATTTGTTGAGCAACTGTACAGTGCACTGTAGAATTGCTGAGGGTGTAAAGAGGCTTTAAATTATAGTCTATTTTATTTCGCTGTAAATGTTGACTGTGTAATGTTACGGTCTCCAATCAGCACATATAAAGTAACGTTTCAAAGGTAAAAAAGATAATTATCAAATGTCTGACAGAAAAATGTGAAGTATTGCAGATCACAAGACTAAACAGACATCTGAGTGAGTGATGTATTTGTGCTGATGTAGAATCTGCTGTCAATTGACTGTTGCCAATACTGTTTAAATTAGATACATGTATTCTTACTAAAAGAGAATAAAGGGTCATTTGTTTAATCTGTGCATCAGTATATAGTTGATCACTTGAGTAAGGTTTGTGTTACATCAGCAACTACACCAACATGTTATTTGAGCATGTGAATCAGAGGTGATTTATTCTAGTCTTTATGTTACAGGGAGGCTTTTATTGAGTACAGTACAGAAACTACAAAAACATATTTTACATTTGCTATTTATTATTAGTTATTGTATTTTCAAACAGTGTTTACATTAGCTTTCTGATTACTGGTGTGTGTGTGCTTTTTCTGCAGAGCTGAATCGATGACATCCTGAAAGCAGCAATACAATTAAGGTACGTTTTCATTGCTTCATTTTTTAAAACCACTTATAGTTGTACAGTTTGATGTTAGTTTAAATATAACTATGTTAGTGATCAGTATTCATACCTAGGATAACAATTCTTGTTTTACGAAAGGTAACTTGGCTTGCTTGCCCTAATGTCATGTTTGCTATTTAGTCTTATCACATAATATGATTAAACTATTTAATTCATAAGCTATATTTATTTTAGAAAAATGGCAGACCAGGGTGCATCCAATGCATTGAGGTGAAGTTGCTTTTATAGTTGCACATTCTGACTTTCTTCTTAAAAATTTAATTTCAGAAAAAGATTTTCAAATTCTATATAGGGAAATCATATTAGCAGCCAATGACTATCAAAATACAGCACTGTCCACAGTCAAATAAATATTAGTTCTAATGTTGTTTTGAAGTCATTCAGACCAAATATTTAAAGTACCATGGTAAACAATATAGGGACCATTAAAATGTTTAATTGCAAATATAAACCATCTTTACCTTAATAACTAACGCTACCATGTTTTATGATTCATTTTACACTCCAAAAAATGTATGTTTACTTAACATTTTTACCAAGAATGTATTGCTAGTAATGATAAATGTGGACAATTAACTAAGTAAATCTACTAGTAGTCACTAGACAATGCATCTTATTTTCTTACATTTCTGTTAAACAATGGAAATGCATACAATATTGAAAGTATTATCATTATTTATTGAAAACAAACAGAAACATAATTATATTATTAAAAGAATGAATATGAGTAATCATGACAAATAAATACAAGTCACCAACACATGAAACCAAGCTTTATTCTAACAGTGATGTATTACAGACAGAAGCCCATGTTTTGCTGTATCTCCACACAGCTGGGCCAGTTCTTCAGATGATCAGAGGGACTTCGCCATCATCACATCCCTCATTGCTGCAGTCAGACTGAAACAGGACGGTGATGCATGGCAGTCCATGCCCGAGATACGGATGATGAAGAGACCACAGCAACATCTGGTCCAGATGAGGACACAAGGGCATGTGGACTGATGCAGGGTCTCGTTCAGTTCACTACAGGAGAACAGGAGTGGCTAAACTCAGTCTAGAACTGCTGCTGTCTTGCAGAGTTTAGTTGAAGTTGACTCTAAACTCTGCAGGACACCAGCTGTCCAGAACTGAGTTTGGGCACCCCTGCATTACAGCATTTCCAAGATGCTGCTGCATGTGGACTTCTTTACCCTCACCACACACACCAATCTGCAGATATTTCAGATCAAACAAAACATAAAAAACATTCAAAAAACAATGTCATTTTACTGTACAATGTGTCATTTGATTTCTGTAGTGCTAGTAATAAAATTATCCTACCTCTTATTTTGGATTCTTTTTTCCTCAAATGTGTTAGTTCCCTTGTCTACAGGTCCAGCTCTATCACAACAGATCTGCAGAAAAAGCACACACACAACATTAATCAGAAAGCTGATGTAATCACTGTTTGAAAATACAATAACTAATAATAATAATAAATAGCAAATGTAAAATATGTTTTTTTATTTTCTGTACTGTACTCAATAAAAGCCTCCCTGTAACATAGAGACTAGAATAAATCACCTCTGTCATCAGGCCCGGCTCCAGCTTGGAACTTTAGGGTGGGCAAATTAAAAAAATAAACAAATTATATATATATATATATATATATATATAATAAAATAATTTATAGTATTCTCTGTCATTCTGATAAAGCAAACTAACTTTTATTTTAAAACTAGTATTTGTACTGCAGATTATATTTATGTCAGTGTTTGCTTGCTTACGTGATGTTTCCAAGTTTTGCAAGAAAACTCCAGAAAAACATGTTGCTCTCCATGAACTATATGGGTGATTCTGTAGTTGCAGGTACATTTAGTGACCAAAGCCATCCTTTTTTCAGCTTTTAAAAAAAATTGTTACATTACATTGTTACATTTTTGATTATTTATTTATAAAATGTGTTCATCATTTTCAAAGATCACATTACCAAAAATCACGATTTCTTGATTTACAAATTAGCCAGTACATATTTCCATCATGCAAAAATAATTTATTTTGCTTTTCTTTAAAGAAAAATTCACCAATATTTTAATTTTAAATGTTTAAACTGTAAACTGTCAATGCTATTATTATCACAATTACAAAAGGAAAACTGAATATTTCATTAATCACATATTTTACAAATAAAAAAATATTTTAAGCCTGATTTCATTAGTATCGTGATCTTTGCAGTTATAGCAAGTAAAAGGTTTTGCTAAAAAGTTGTAAAACTAAATTACTGTCAATTCAGTTTAAATTTAGTAACTACACATTACGATTTTTCTTGCTATGATTTATTATTATTTCTAAACATTACTAAAGTCATCCATGACAGAGTTGACAAACAATATAAAACTTTTTATTCCCTAAAACATTTAATCATTTGTACAGCAAAAGCTGAATTATAAAAATTAAATATGTTTTAACTTTAGTGTTGGAATTTACAACCTTGAGATGATACCTTTAAAGAACTTCAACATTCCATACTATTTTCTATAATTTGTCATTTAAAAAAAAAATCTTAATGTTATTATTATTATTTAATGCACCAGAGCCAATATGGACATTAATATTTTTTTATAACTAACAAACAAATTTTTGAATAGCAGATTTTCTTTGCATATTAGCCTACTTATTAGTGATAGCTAATACAGTATCATTTATAGCCTATCAAAAAAAATCTAATTTATTTCGCATATAACATGTTTTAATAAACACACACATGGCGTTTCATGTGCTTTATCATGGCGCTCTGTGTGCGTCGACCTGCTCCCTGAAACATCTTGAATTATCAAGATTTATTCTATTCATTATTGAATTCTGAATTTTTAATATTGTATTGCACTATTGTTGAGCACAGCAGTGAACAGTAACAGTTTAAGATATCTTGTGTATGATTTTGACGTTTTTCCCTTATCAGTTAAAAAGTCCAATAACAGAGAGATCACATATGATAATTTGAGAGATTTAAAGGGGAAAAAAGAGAACACGTCAATCGATAGCACGTTACACGGCTTTCGTATCTAATAAATCGAGTCAGTGATATTGAAATGAGTTCAGTTACTAACATCTCCAAATTTACAGATGAGGTACACACAGCAGCGCGCGTCAAGAGAAGAGCGCGCATTTAGAGAGAGCAAAGCGAAAGCAAGATTATGTGTGGATATGTGTCTATATAAAATATTGATGTTTTTGACACAAACTGCAACAAAGTGCTTTGCACTGGTGTTTGAATTGTGTATGTTGCACTTTGCACGAACTTTACTACTGAAACTGCCTGTGATCTGTCCGTTTCTGTGCGTCATTAACAGACTAATTAATATTTGCTCTTTCCGTGAGAAAAATGCTATAATGTTTAAGCGGGCCCAATACATCTCCTGATTATCTCACAGTGCTGTTTAACTGTTTGTGTTCTTTAAGACTTTCTATTGTATGAAATACGACTGCATGAACTGATATTAAAGGGAGGTGCATTTGGTAATGCGCGTTCAGACGCGTGATGCGCACAGAAATCTGCGCTCTATGCTGAATTACTTTCTCTTTCATCTTTTGCAGCCTGAATTGATTAAAATTATTAAAACTAATATTTTTTATATTTAAATCTAATATTTAATTTAATATTTAATTAATATTTATCTAATATTTTAATCAAGATTGTAAATGAGTCTGGCTTGCCAAAACGTGTTTTTTTGAAGCTCACGCGGTCACAAATCCTCAAGTGATCAACTATATACTGATGCACAGATTAAACAAATGACCCTTTATTCTCTTTTAGTAAGAATACATGTATCTAATTTAAACAGTATTGGCAACAGTCAATTGACAGCAGATTCTACATCAGCACAAATACATCACTCACTCAGATGTCTGTTTAGTCTTGTGATCTGCAATACTTCACATTTTTCTGTCAGACATTTGATAATAATCTTTTTTACCTTTGAAACGTTACTTTATATGTGCTGATTGGAGACCGTAACATTACACAGTCAACATTTACAGCGAAATAAAATAGACTATAATTTAAAGCCTCTTTACACCCTCAGCAATTCTACAGTGCACTGTACAGTTGCTCAACAAATACGAGTTTAACACAACGAATTATCTTTGGTTTAATACTCACATTTCAAACTGACCGCGTCCTCTTCCTCCTTCAGGCCGTAGGCTGCGGCTTCCTGGAGTAGAAAGGCATCCACCTGGCGTACTTTTTATGGTTACTAAAGTTTCAAACCTACTTATTTTCTTAAGGCATGTTTGCTCCTACTATGAAATAATGAAGCAGGCATTTTGAACGCAAATCAGGTATAGATGCAGCGAATCTCGCAAAGGGGGTTTCGGTTTCGACGTTCAGCCTCCGCAGCGCTAGAGCGGTGACGTCACGCCCCATCCCCTATTGGCTGAATTTCTCTGAGAGCCCACGTTTTGGTTGGCAGATACACAAGTAACTTTTGCACCAAATGTCACAGTGATTTTTGGTGCAGAAGAGCGAGAGAGCGAAATGTAGATTTGCAAGTGAAAAACAGCGCTTGAGACTCGTAGCGGCAGATTTGAGCAGTTGCAGGAACATATTTGTGTTCGTGCTTAGAAAAAAAATAATCAAACATTCTACACACGTTCAGCTCTCTTTGTGCGGATACACATTCTAATCTACAGATGTGCAAGTTTTGTCTGTGACTTCACATTTCTGGATGCAGGTGTGTGAATGTGTTTTGCACCATATTCACTGCAACAATAGTAGCAAAGAACATGAGCGGATGAGTTTCTGCATTTGTGATTCGTCCGATGGGATTTGTGCACCTGTACTGAAGAATTTGTGCAGGTGTAAATGTTGCGTTGTGTTTGTTGGAGACAAAAAATACCTACACATTTGCAAATTTGCTCTGCGAGTACAAATTTACTGATACGCATTTGCAAATTTGCTCTGCGAGTACAAATTTACTGATACACATGTGTGGCTATTTTTTACAACTACAAATGACACTTTTACAGCTGCTTGGGAGTTTTGCACCAAAAATACCTTCATAGAAAAGCCCACTGAGGCCATTTCTCATCCCACTTCTTTATTGAAGACTGAAAAGGTGAGTTGCACATTCTGAATTTACACTCAAATAATATCTGAATGCTAACATTATAAAAAGTAAAATCTAAACATGCGTGGATGCACTGTTCAACGTTGTATTAAAGTTCTTCAGTCATTTTTAAAAGGTTCTTTACAACTTTTTATTTAGTTTTTTGTTTGTTTGTTTATTTGGTTATGAATATTGTTTTTATCCTGACAAATGGACTGTAGCCCAGTTTCAACCCAAGTTAACCTAGTTAAGTTTCAACCTATTACATATATAGGTTGGAACCTGGCAGGCAGTTTTGAAGAATTTGATGTTTCCCCATTCAAACATAGAAAGAGGTGGTAACATCAGTTGAATGCAAGTGAATGAGTTAAAGCTATGGATAAAGAAATGCAATCATTTAAAGAAAATGCAACCTCCTATCAACCTACCTGAAGGTGAAGATCTGGGGGGTAAATGCTTTTTTTTCAATTAACATAAAGATTGATGGTCTTACAAATACAAAACAGAAAGCAGATAAAGTATAAAGTGGAAAATGTATCAATAATTCATGACAAAGAGTAAGTAGGGGGATAAGCTAAACAAAAAAAAAGACTTTTATTTTGGCGTGGTCATATAGCTGCGCCGCTCCCGCACTGGGATTCAACTGGAGAAAGGTTTGTTTTAAAGCTTTTACACCGATGTAAACCGACTTATTAAAATTTCAGGTTGTTCATTTAATGCTAGATGTACCTGCTGTTTACAATATTTTAACCTTTATACAAATAAAGTAGTATTTTACTCACAATAAGGTCTATTGTTTGAATAAGATAGGATAAACTTTATTTGTCCCCGAGAAGAAATTCTTGTCTTGTGCAAAAGAGTGCTACAACGTTGCTGTAAGCAGACAATTAAATAAATAAAACAAAATAATTAACAACATTTGTTAAAGTTTAAATAAAGCAACAGTAAAGTGTATAATAAGTGTTTTAATGAAGGTTTAATTTTTAAAATTGCATAATGTCATTCTATTCTAAATATACATCACTATATATAAGAAATAGAATAATGTTACTAGTTTTAATCAGCTTATTTGTGGCTATTGTTTCTTGCTCGCACTTACCTGATTTATTTTTGTTAATCACTCTCATATAAAGAAACTGTTGAAGCAAGTGTTGAAAAGAAGTTATTTTGTGTCTGTTCATTGTTTTATTTATTTTAACCAGGACATTTTTCTTGCTTTGTTAATTTTTACAGGATAAAGTGTCCAAACGCAGAGAAAAAATATATATTATGAGGAATGACTAGTTAAAACATGTAGTAGTAATGAATAGTTTTTATTTGAAGGGCACCTATTTTACCTCCCTTTCATAATTTAAGATAAGTCTTTTACGTCTGTAAAGTTTCAGCTTAAAACACCCATCAGATTATTTGTTATACATTTTAGAACGTTGAGATTTTTTGCTTTAAACACTTCAACTTAGTGATTAAACACGTTTTTTAAAATTGTCTTAAAATGTATAGAGTAGAGGATTTGATTAACTCCAAATAAGTGTGTCTGTGTATGTCAGAAAGTGGAGGGAGAAATGCCAATAAGTCATGACTGCAACAGTAAGTGGCAAAAAAAGACTTTTATTTTGGCGTGGTGTGTGACGTCATAAGCATGCGCCGCTCCCGCGCCGTGATTTAACTGGAGAAAGGTTTGTTTTAAAGCTTTTACCCTTATATAAAGCGATTGATAAAGTTTTTTTTTTTCATTCAGTGCTAAATTATGTACCTTGTTGACAATATTATTTTAACATTTTATACAACTAAGTACTATTTCACTCACAATAATGAGATCTATTGTTTGAATCAAGATAGGATAAACTTTTTGTCCCTGAGAGGAAATTTGTCTTGCAAAAAAAGTGCTACACGTTATAGAGGTAAAGTTGGTTTTTAATTCACACATTCGTTCATTTAGAAGTCAGAGAGGTTTCCGGGCACTTTGTGTCAAGATGATTGATTGTTATTACCCTCATAAAAATATTCCCCCCTCCCTCCCACCCTCGCGTGTCCCAAATCTGGACACTTGGACACCTGGCCATCTGACCCCTAATTCACCCCGCTCTGAACTAGGGATGTTTTTGATATCAAAATACAAATTGATATCGTAGCGGGGGAAAAGGCGTTGTTATTAGTGACATTGTGACGGTTTTTGCGTGTGTGTATTGGGCAGTTATGTGCTTTAAACATTTAAATGTGTATATGTTTAGAAAGAGGGGAAAAAGGTTGCTTTTATTTCAAGAAAAGGTGTACATTTTCACATGAAAGTTTTTTGACATGTTAAAATCCGACAGTTTGTTTCGTTTTTCTTTCTTTCTTGTTTAGTTCAGTTAAAAAGTGTTAAAACGTATTATTTAAAAACAGAAAAACAAAACGATGTTAGAATTAAACTGTTAGTAGAGTAAATAATGTTAGTAAGAGTATTTGTTAAAGAAACGGAGATGTATCTTACGGAGACTCGGGGAGCGAAATCCGTGTTTATTCCGTGTCTCTCTCTCCCTCCGGAGAGGGAAGCTGTCAAAAAGCGGGTGTGAAAACTCCGTGCGCGCGCGCGCATACATAGACCCTTAACTTACACAGCCAGATTTTAGATAGACTTTAAACAGTTTGAAACAAGTAAAAAAGTTAATTTTTTTTAAAAGTTAAGAAAAAGAATTAAATAAAGAAAATAAATAAATTCTTAAACGTAATGAAAACACATTTTAAGTTTTAAAAATGAGTAGAATAGTTTTAAACAAAACAACAGCTTGTAGCCTAAGTACTGCAAGTGAAATATTTTTTTAAAAAGTAAGTATATGTCAAGAAAACGAAGTAAGTTAGGAAAAAAAGATTAAGTTGATCTTACGGAATATCCGGACTTAGATCCTCACTTGTTGCCTGTTAGAGAAGAAATGATGACAAAACTAGTCTAAGACACCGCCCCCCAAACTCCGCCTCTGTACCACCCTCAAAATCAAAATCTTATCCGAGAGCAGTGAAAAGTGCGACCGCTCTCTCCTGATGTCAAACACATGATGATTAAAACGTGAGAAACAATGAGACACACGTAACCCCGCCTCCAACTCCGCCTTTAACCACACCCCCCAGATTCAGCCAGCCAATCACGAAAAGGCAGAAAGGGGGTTGGTTCTAGGTTAAAACCAATGCTGAAAAATAAAAATACAAAATGTTTTAAAACAATTTAACTAGTTAATAAAACATTTTAAACAAATAAATGTTTTTCACAAATACTTGTTTACTAAGTTTTATGAAAATAATAGGCCTATGTTTGAAAATGATTTGATAACTATGATCATTTGAATTTATGTGATAAAAACAATATACTATGATATTGTTATAAGAGATTAGATTGTTTTGTATGTTTTTTTATTTATTATTTAAATAAATGTGTTATTTTCATTTAACATTGTTATTTGTTTTGATAGAATGAAATATTATTTATTTTGTTACAGTTTAAAAAGTTAATCTCCCTATTTATTCTTAGACGGACATACAGGCAAACGCACACACGCACGCACTTTCTGTTATCAGTCTAATACCAGATTCTCTAAACCTAATTTAAACAGGAATGTTGGGGTTTTTACAACAGGGTGTCCTGCATCTCTAACAAAGATCCATGTGGTAGGGTCAGAAAAAATGTTTGGCATAGAAAGAAAAAAAAAACCTCAGTAATAGTAAATTATCTGTGTTTTTTCCTTTTAAATGTTTATTTTCTGATCTGATACCATATTCTAAATATAATTCCACCATGAGTAAAACATTTTCTCATTAGGAATACATAAATTATATTGTTTTTTAAACATCATTTATTTGTTTGTGTGTTTGTTTTTTGCAAAATAAGTTACTAAGTAAATCTAAGTTTTGATCAAGTTTCTAGCTGTGCAAACAAAGTTACAAGCTAACTTTGTCTAATACAAACTATGTTACCACTTCACTACTAATGTGTATTATAAAAGCAAATGCATAAATCTAAGTTAGTAAACAGTTAAACACAGATATAGTTACATCAATAATTAAACTATTCAATCTCATATAAGTCTAAAACATGAAGACTATGTTTTATAAATGTATTCATTAACTTTGGCAAAGTAGTCATATTTTTTTCATTTTTTAGTTAGTATTATTTAATAAGACTATCAACTGTTTTTAACTTTGAAAACCCCCACATTCCCCAACATTCACACCCCCCTCACAGCACACACACACACACCAAATGCACGCACACACACACACACACACACACACACACACACACACACACACACACACACACACACACACACACACACAGATGTGGTTGTAAATGTGTGTGTTCTTGTGTTCAGATGTCTGTTTCCTCACTCTGGATCCAAACACAGCACACACTCAACTCATTCTGTCTGAGGAGAACAGAGAGGTGAAGAGTGTGAGAGAGAATCAGCCGTATCCTGATCATCCAGACAGATTTGATTATCGTCCTCAGGTGTTGTGCAGAGAGAGTGTGTGTGGACGCTGTTACTGGGAGATTGACTGGAGTGGAGATGGTGATGTGGAAATATCAGTGTCATATAAGAGCATCAGGAGGAAGGGAGGAGGTGTTGAGTGTGGGTTTGGAAATAATGCTCAGTCCTGGAGTTTGGTCTGCTCTTCCTCCAGTTTCACATTCTGGCACAATAACACACGCACTGATCTCCCAGTAAAGGTGCTCAGCAGGAGAATAGGAGTGTTTGTGGATCACAGTGCAGGAACTCTGATCTTCTACAACATCTATAGAGACACAATGAGCCTCATCCACTCAGTCCAGACCACATTCACTGAGCCGCTCTGCCCTGGGTTCTGGGTTTATTCTGGATCATCAGTGAAACTGAGCTGAAGACTGACGAGAGATTTACCCAGAATCCTCTGCAGGAGCAGTCAGCAGCAGTGTGTGTGTGTGTGTGTGTGTGTCTGTGTG